ATGGCACTCTTTCTTCTGAGCAACGCAATAAATTAATGTGATATTAAAGGCCTTTATGTTGCTGGAGGTGTCTTATTTAAGATGAGACTTAGACATAGCAAGTCCTGCCAAATGTGGTAATTACAGTTCCCCCGACTCTTTTTGGTGCAGTAAGCACATGTCTCTACTTGCTGCGCTGGAGATTAATATTCTGGGGTTCCATTTAATAGGTCTAGTGAAGACCCGCTAAATTGAACACTGAGGGTACGTATAAACTACATGGCTCCGTCGACGGAGCCATGTAGATTTGTTGTTTTGGCAAAGGCAAATGAAGCCGCGATTTAAATGATCGCGGCTTCATTTACATTTACATGGCTGCTGTGCTGAGCCGACAAACAGCTGATCAGCTGTTTGTCGGCTCGCGCGCTAGTCTGGACGTTCCCCCTGTCGACATCAAAGCCTTTTGTCGGCAGCCCCGGTAAACCTCATTCCACGAGGAATAACGGGGCTGCCGACAAAGGGCTTTGATGTCGGCAGGGGAGCGTCCAGACTAGCGCGCGAGCCGGCAAACAGCTGATCAGCTGTAAACAGCTGATCAGCTGTTTGTTGGCTCAGCGCGGCAGCCATGTAAATGTAAATGAAGCCGTGATCATTTATATCGCGGCTTCATTTGCCTTTGCCTATGTGTCTAATCTACATGCCTCTGCCGACAGAGGCATGTAGTCTAGACACAGCCTGAGAGTGGCTCCAGTCAGCACTGGTACTCTTCGCAGTTGTGAGGAGTAAGGGAAGCCAATGAGAGCTTTTGCTCCCGTCGGTTTCCTTCTGTTAAGACAACACCCAGCTTGGCTTAAGGTAAGCAGATTCCAGCTACATATTTTAAATAGCTGAGTTGCGTACCTTAACTCAGCCTTCCAGGTCTAATATAGACTTGGCCTGACACCTGGTCATATTGTAACTCGGGGAAATTACATTCTGCCTTCCTATGCTTCTCTCCTGCATTTTCATTTAAAATATTACTCTCTTCTTTCTGCCCTAAATAAACTTGTATGCATTATTGCTGTTACTTTTAAACTGTTGCCATATTTCACCCCAAGAGATAGGTAAAATGGTTACTTTGAAGCAGTTGTACAATTGGTAAACCTTGTCAAGTGCTTTGGTTTCTACCTAGATGAAAGATGTTATGTGAATATGATATCATTCATATTGGTGTCTATATAAGGTCTTCCTTCTTCCTTGATTGGTTCTGTACTGAAATCATAGTAGTGAAGTTTTTGCTAGCCCATTCATTTCTGTAGCAAAAGATGGAGTCCAGAACATTTTTTTACTTAATTGAAGGTTGAAACAAAATAGAAAACTGGGATGTGAATAAGAACCAGATTATTCCATCACACATTAGAATTAATTTCAAACAGATTACAGAAAATGTTGGCAAAAAGACTCTAATTTTGTTTTATTCCAATGTGCAGGTCTGGCATTAAAGGTTTTATATTGTGGGAGCTTTGCCTTTCCTTCCAGCAGGACTGAATTTATACTTTGTAAAATAGCATTCCTTCCTGAAGTATGGTATTTCTTCCTGATGTTCCAGGATATTAACAGGATTTGCATACTTTCACCCATGAATCATTGGTTTGAATCTGAACGATCAGTTGTGAGGAGGAAGGAGGATATTTATGTTTTAGCTGACTGAAAAATGCTAACTGAAACAATTCCCATTTTGTCCCCCGTACCTCCAAAGCCTAGCTGCTGAGTTTCATAGATTGCTGTGAAGTTTTAAATTGGTTCACTTCCAAGTGAAACTAATTTTCAAATTGGTCCAGCTGCTTGGCAGCCATGCTGGGGCAGTGAATCAGCAGAGGAGAGGTGGTTTCTTAAGTTCAGCAACCAATCCTTCTCAAGGAGCTGAACTTCAAAGGGGAATGCTCCTTTACTCCCAGTACCTTCTGCCTAGCTCACAGCTCTTCAGAAGTGGTTGAGCTGCTTTAAATTCTGAAAAGGTACCCCACAAACAAAGCATTCCGAGCTCCCAATTCAGCTGATGTAAATTAAAAACATTAGCAGGTGGATTTCAGAATTTTTCATTATGGGGAGAGAGATGGCCACCTGCTTTAACTGCCTTTCCAGATAAAATCTTGACTCTTTAAATGAGTGGAAGCTGTTCTTCCACTTACATGAAGTGTGTAATGGGTTATGAGAGAGACTGTTTAGATTATCCTTCCATAGGTACTGCTGCTGTAATTTCAGTGGAAAAAGCCCTGGCAGACTATAGATTCAGTTAAAAACTACAACAGCTCAGTACAAATTTTGGTTTTGACCGTCAGTAGTATCCAGAGTTACAAATACTGTGATTTTCAGATGAGTACAAAAATGTTAATGGGTAGACAATGTGAAAGAACATACTACAAAGCTACATTATACTAATATACATTTGGAATGTTATTTTTGCTAACAAAAGTGCTAGCAAGTTTATATTTTTAGATAAAGCTTCAAAGCTTGAATAAATAAGAATTGATTATATGAGGTGAAAGGGTGGGAGAGATTTGCACTACCAGTCTGTCCCACAGCAGCAACATCTATTCTGAAATTGCCTAATTAGTCGCTAGTTTTAAAAACTCAGTAGGATGAGTTCTGGAACTGAAGCAATCCTTGTAACTACAGAGAGAGCTATAATTTAAAATGGACATATTCATATGAACTTACTGGAACATCATATGGTAGCAATGTGAATTTGATGCCCTCTTATTTGAAAGTTCTCAGACTCCTTACTAAACTATAATAGAAGATGGAATTCTAACTAAAGATAGAGATGGACAAAACCACTGTTCAACATAATGGGCTCTTCCGTGGCTATGCAATAGACAAGCCCTTTGATTCATCCAAAAACTGGTATATGATCTGATAGATACATTCTATACCTGCCTAAATTAATCATTAACAGAGAGATATTTATCAAACTACCTTGAAAATTAATTATTTTTTTAGTTTTTACATTTTGGACTTAAAGGTCTGAATTATTCTAGGATGACATAAACCATGTTTATCTCTTCAAAAGTACTACGATGCTTGAGTTCAAAACTAAAGTACCACTCACTTGCAAAATAATGGCTTCCATTTATTATACCCATAAAGTAAAATCTTTGCAATCATTTAAAGATGTATTTGGAAATGCTGTCAGCTAAAGGAAATGGCTTATCCCATTAAAGCACTTCATGTCAAATGAATCAAACCCTATTGATTTTGAAAGTTAATTATGGTTCTGTTATAGTTCATCTTCCCTTTCAAAACAATTAAGATGTTCTTTAATTTTATTCCCTTTAATGTTAACAAAATCACCTTTTATCTGCAGCAGTTACCTAGAGATCACTCTCTTGTACTCTTGGTGGCACTGTTCACATTGCAATATTTGTGAAAGTAAATATTATAAAACTTCTTAATAGCATCTGCTTTTTGAAGAACTTCTGTTGGTAGTCACATTTCAATAAATTGTGATGGAAATTCATTTTGTCCCTGTCGTAATCTGTTATATGATGCCACATTTGTCCTTTACATGCCTATGAAAAGTATGAGAAAAGTGTGCTTTTGTTCTTTGTGTGTAGTATTTTAAAACGTCCTATGCATAAATAATATTTTGATAAATTTTAGAAAAATCTTAATCTTTTTATTAGCATTCCATAGTGCGCTGCATCTTAAAAATCTACACAGAATATGTTTTCTAAGCCTGATACAGGCAGTCCCCGGGTTATGTACAAGATAGGGACTGTAGGTTTGTTCTTAAGTTGAATCTGTATGTAAGTCGGAACTGGCATCAGAAGTTGCTGAAACTGATCAATTTCAACCGCGGCTGAATCTGGACGCCAGTTCTGACTTACATACAGATTCAACTTAAGAACCCCAGGCATCCCCAAGTCAGCTGCTGCTGAAACTGATCAGCGGCTGATTCCAGGAAGTCTGGGGCAGAGCAACTCTGCCTCGGGCTTCCTGTAGTCAGCCGCTGGTGAGTTTCAGCAGCGGCTGATTGGGGACGCCTGGGGCAGAGCAGCTGGGGTGCTGCTGGGTTGCTCCAGTAGCGCTGCTCCTCGGCACTACTAGAGCAACCCAGCAGCACCCCATCTGCTCTGCCCCAGGTGTCCTGATTCAGCCGCTGCTGAAACTGACCAGCAGCAGCTGAATCAGGACCTGGGGCCGGGCAGCTAGAGGGCTGCCGG